GAGAATCCACCATGCCCCTCAGTGAATTGCTCCTACATAGGCGGAGTTTGGGAGGGGGACGTTTGCTCCCCAACCCCAACTGCAAGCCTCAGGCAGGCAGCCTGATAGTGCAATGTCATGAGTTCTGCAGAGGAGACAGGAGACTTCTCCCAACTTGGTGTCACGGAGTCCCCGGGCGATGCTCTGGAACTGCTCCCCATGAAGCCAGTCAGGACTCTGGGGCAGTCGCCTTTCTGTGAGCAGCCTGTCTTCAGGACACACAGCTCACACAGCTTCCACCTTCCTGGGTCTGACCTCGGAGCATTCAGCATCCTCTGCCCCTCCGTGCGCTTCCCCCAGCGAGTCCGCTCAGGCGGGGCTCCTGGGGAAGCCAGAGGGTCCGGCACCCCAACTTCGCAGTCAGACGTGACTCTCAGCCAGCCAGTAAAACAGAAGGTTTATTAGACGACAGGAACATGGTCTAAAACAGAGCTTGCAGGTGCAGAGAACGGGACCCCTCAGCTGGGTCCATTTTGGGGGCAGTGAGCCAGACAACCACGTCTGCCCTTCACTCCATGTCCCAGCCAGCCCCAAACTGAAAACCCCCTCCAGCCCCTCCTCCTCTGGGCTTTGTCCCTTTCCCGGGCCAGGTGGTCACCGGATTCCTTTGTTCTCCAACCCTTCAGCTCTCACCTTGCAGGGGGGAAGGGCCCAGGCCATCAGTTGCCAGGAAACAGGGTGTCGGCCATTCTCTGTGTCCAGACCCCTGCACACACATGCCCTCTAGGGCTCTGCAATGATCATACACCCTTACTCCACCCCCTAGATACTTAAGAACTGCCTAGGGGAAACTGAGGCACCCCCACACTATTCAGAGGAAACATTAAGAACAGTCCCACTTCGTCACATCTCTCCCCCCTTCGAGATCGAACTGAGCGGGGTCACTTTAGCCGGTGACCTGGGGAAGTTCGAAGCCACCAACGTTCCCATGGATGCCCCAGCATCTCTCCCATTCCTTGGTAGGAGTTACACCAGGCCCTTCCAGTTTCACGCCCTCCCTTAGGTCAGGGGTGGTCGATAGCACTCGCAGGCCGCATGTGGGAAGGTTTATGCAGCCCATGCCCTTTGGCCACCCCAAGAATGTCTCCGCATTGACCATCACCTTCTGCTCCCACTGGAGGTCCGAGGGGCCTGGCCCCAGGAAACTCCACACAGACATATAGGTTGGGGTCAGGAGTGGGAGCCTGTCCACATCCCCAACTATCTGGCCGACGGAGTCTATGGCCTTGGGACCCAGCAAGGGAGCTAGACACCGGGGCTTTTCCGCAGGGTCCCCTTGGTTCAAATCTCCAGCCTGCTCAAAGGCAGTGAGGTGGGCATCCACCTCCCCCCCATCCTTAACCAGGGGCAGCAATTTAGTCTTGAGGTTCCCTGCGGAACTGGCACCCCGGGATCTATCCCCACTCACCCCGGGGAGGTCCCCTAGGCCTCTCCACCCCACCACCGCCAGTTCATGCTGCTGCTGCTTCTGCAGCTCTTTCTCGGGCTCTCGCTGTCTCCCAGGGTCCTCTTGCTCTCTCGGACTCAGCTCCAATCCCGTCCGTCTTGATCCCCCGATGGGGAACCCGATCGTGAATACCCCCGTCTGGTCGGGGACAGGAGTCTTGGCGATGCCTGGCTCCCACTCCAGCTGCTCCCAGATCCTGCTATAGCCCCAGTTGGGGTCAGGAATCTGTTCCTTAGAGCGGTCATCCTCCTCCAGCTGCACGATTAACTCTGCTTTGGTGAACTTTCCAACGCTCAACCCTCTCTTTTTGCACAGGGTTACAATGTCCTTCTTAAGGAGATGGTGACAGGCCATCACTCCGCTCCTCCTAAGTTGTTGTGGACTCACAGGCCCATGTGTTCTCAGCTCCCCACGGTTTCCAGGGAGAACCCCTAGTGTGCCAGCCCTTCTCGAGGTCACCACCTCTTTGCCAGGGTCGAGCTGCAGACTCCTCCGCCCCTTGGACTGCTCGCTGCAATCCCCAAGGGAACCCTGTTACTGCAAAAGTCCTTCTCTCTCCCCGGGCCAAGCTGCAGGCTCCTCCGCCCCTGAGACTGCTCACTGCAGTCCCCAGGGGGACCCCATTACTGCACAGTCCTTCTCGCTGGTCACACACTCCCAGGGGTTAACCGCCCCCCGAAACCCCTTCTCTCTGAGCCTTCAGCAGGCCTGGTCCTCGGCAATCCCCCTTCGTGTTACTGCTCCCCAGTCACTTACTGCAGGAAGCGCCATCCACGGGGTGCAGTACATCCCACCGCTGCCACCAGTTGTCACGGAGTCCCCAGGCGATGCTCTGGAACTGCTCCCCATGAAGCCAGTCAGGACTCTGGGGCAGTCGCCTTTCTGTGAGCAGCCTGTCTTCAGGACACACAGCTCACACAGCTTCCACCTTCCTGGGTCTGACCTCAGAGCATTCAGCATCCTCTGCCCCTCCGTGCGCTTCCCCCAGCGAGTCCGCTCAGGCGGGGCTCCTGGGGAAGCCAGAGGGTCCTGCCCCCCAACTCCGCAGTCAGACGTGACTCTCAGCCAGCCAGTAAAACAGAAGGTTTATTAGACGACAGGAACATGGTCTAAAACAGAGCTTGCAGGTGCAGAGAACGGGACCCCTCAGCTGGGTCCATTTTGGGGGCAGTGAGCCAGACAACCACGTCTGCCCTTCACTCCATGTCCCAGCCAGCCCCAAACTGAAAACCCCCTCCAGCCCCTCCTCCTCTGGGCTTTGTCCCTTTCCCAGGCCAGGTGGTCACCGGATTCCTTTGTTCTCCAACCCTTCAGCTCTCACCTTGCAGGGGGGAAGGGCCCAGGCCATCAGTTGCCAGGAAACAGGGTGTCGGCCATTCTCTGTGTCCAGACCCCTGCACACACCTGCCCTCTAGGGCTCTGCAATGATCATACACCCTTACTCCACCCCCTAGATACTTAAGAACTGCCTAGGGGAAACTGAGGCACCCCCACACTATTCAGAGGAAACATTAAGAACAGTCCCACTTCGTCACACTTGGGCCCCTGAGACAGGGAGTCAGAATTTTGTTTATAAACAGAGTGATTAACAGGTGATTAAGATAAGAAAGGGCCTTTAGGATGTTTCCTACAGTTAAATGATCTGTTCTAAGCCTGGTGAACTGCAAAAAGTAAGTAGCCTAAATGATAGAAAGTAATTGTAGATTTTTCTATTATTGTTGCAATTGTTGGATTCAAGCGGTGGTAACCAAGGCCTTGTCCACATGGGCACTTTACAGCACTGCAACTTTCTCACTCGGGTGTGAAAAAACGCCCCCCTGCGTGCTGCAAGTTTCAGCGCTGTCAGGCGCCAGGGTCGACAGTGCACCGGCGCCGGGAGCTGCGCCCCTCGTGGAGGTGGGTTTTTTACAGCGCTGGGAGAGCTTTAACGTTGCTAACGAAGACATACCTAAGTTAGTACTATCTTCTTTGAGAAGAGAACTGATTTTTTAGACAAAGGAAATGCAGTAGATCTAATCTCCCTGGATGTCAGGAAGGCATTTGATACATATTTTAACATGAGAAATTATTGGTTACATTGGAGAAGATGCGGATTAATATGAGAACTGAAAGATGGATAACGAGGTGGTTAAAGGGGAGACAACAATGGGTCACACTGAAAGGTGAACTGTCAGGCTGGAGGGAGGTTCCTCAGGGTCAGTCTTGGGACCAACCTTATTTAACATTTTTATTACTGACCTTGGCACAAAAAGTGGGAGTGTTCTAATAAAATTTGCAGATGACACAATGTTGGGAGGTATTGCCAATATGGAGGAGGACCGGAATATCATACAAGAAAATCTGGATGACGTTGTAAACTGGAGTAATAGAAATGGGATGATATTTAACAGTGCAAAGTGCAAAGTCATGCATTTAGGGACTAACAATAAGAATTTTTGCTATAAGCTGGGGACTCATTAGTTGGAAACGACAGAGGAGGAGAAAGACCTGGGTGTCTTGGTTGATCCCAGAATGACTATGAGTCGTCAATGTGATGCGGCCGTGGAAAGGCTAATGCAGTCCTCGGGTGCATCAGGCGAGGTATTTTCAGTAGAGATAAGGAGGCGTTAGTACCATTATGCACGGCACTGGTGAGACCTCATCTGGAACACTGCGTGCAGTTCTGGTCTCCCATGTTTAAGAAAGATGAATTCACACTGGAACAGGTGAAGAGAAGGGCTACAAGAATGATCTAAGGAATGGAAAACCTACCTTATCCGATGAAGTGAGCTGTAGCTCACGAAAGCTTATGCTCTAATAAATTTGTTAGTCTCTAAGGTGCCACAAGTCCTCCTGTTCTTTCTACCTTATGAGAGGAGACTCAAAGAGCTTGGCTTGGTTAGCCTAACCAAACGAAGGCTGAGGGGAGATCGGATCACTCTCTATAAATACATCAGAGGGATAAATATCAGGAAGTATATATATAAGAAACAGTGGAGTTCAGTTAAGTGTCAATGTGGACACAAGAACAAATGGCTATAAACTGGTTTAGGCTTGAAACTAGGCGAAGGTTTCTAACCATCAGAGGAGTGAAGTTCTGGAGCAGCCTCCCAAGGGGAGCAGTGGGGGCAAAAACCCTAACTGGCTTCAAGACTGAGCTTGATAAGTTTATGGAGGGATGTTATGACAGGACTGCCTACAATGGCCCTTGGCCCATCGGTGACAGCCAGTAGCAAAACTCCCCAATGGCTGGAGATGGGACACTAGATGGGGAAGGCTCTGAGTTACTGCCGCGCCCTCCCCAGGCACGGCCCCGTTGGCTTGACTGGAGCCTGCCCCCCAAATATAAAAGTCCAACTACACCTATGCTGGTTAATTCCTCTCCCTGTTAACAGGTGATGGTTGGGTTCAGCTGAAATCAGGTCTTTTGGAGTAAAGAGAGTGACTGGAAAGAGACTGCATCAGTGAGCAGGGGGAAGCAGGCTCTGACAGGGCTAGCGGGTTGTAAACTTGTTCCCTGCTTCGTGTCTTTCAGGCGGAGGAAACAGGAACCGTTCACAGGAAGTAGCTCCAAGGTGCAGGGATTCCTCAGCCAGACATGGAACCAGCCGGCGCTCTGGAGGATGTGTGCGTCCTAGTGGAGTACGAGTTTGAGTACGTGGCTAAGGACGGGACGCTCATTTCCATAAAGCCCAATGAGCGGTACGTCCTGTTGAGAAGAACAAATGATCACTGGTGGCATGTTAAAAAAAGCAAGGACGCCCGGCCGTTCTACATCCCGGCAAAGTACGTGAAGGAGCTGCCCCCAGTCAGCCGGCCAACCAGTGTGTTTGAGCTTCCTCCAGAGACCCCTGGAGAGCTGGTCTCCAGGGATGCCATGGAGACAACTGTCCTACAGCCAGCCAGGGCTGGCCAAGACCAGCCTTTGGCATACGAGTACAAATTCCTGAGCACTGCTCAGCAGGAAGAGCAGCACAAAGTGGATGCCAATGAACGCGACACTGACTTGGGGGCTAGGTCCCTGTGCTCAGGGTCTGGAACTTTGGGGCCCGCTTGCAAAGACACCAGCTTCAAAGGCGAGACCCTGACTCGAGCTGTAGGAGAGGGGAAAGACTCCCCTCCGGTGCTGAGCTCATTTCACAACCCTCACTGTGCAAAGAGGAGCAGTCACTCTCCGGCGCTGCGCATCACCCCCATCGAGCACATGCGCCCGACGCAGTCCCTGGAGGACCTGGCCAGGGTCACCCCCAACCCCCGACTTAGTGTTGGGCACATGGGGTCACGCAGGGCGGGGACCGCAGTGGGCTCTTTGCTTTCCCTGCAGCCTCTCAGCAAGAGCCAATCTGAGGACATTTATGAATCCATCAAGGACCTGGAGAGACAGGAGAAGGCAGGTCCGTGGGCAGAGTCCAGCCGACCAGCTCAGGTGAGTAGCACAGCTTCCTTCTGGGCCACAAAGCGGAACTCATGGGTCCCTGGGCTGACTCAGCCACCTTGGGCAAGTCCCCCCCACCCCCACCCCAGCGTTCCCTCATTGCCAGGGTGGGGGGGGCAAGGAATATGCTGCTAATTTCAGGACTATTACACATCTGGAGCGCCTCAGAGAAAAGGCACCGACGACGAGCAAAGTGCTGCCGGGATCACACCTGATTTGTGCTCCCCTTTGTGGTGCTTCTGCAGGGTGATGAGGAGACCCTTGGAAGGGCTGGTCTGGGGGTTTTTAGGGGCTTTTCTGGCCTTTCTTTATTTTTTTCAGCCCTGTGTCTGTCTGGTCTGTTCAAGGCCCAGTCCTGTAGCTTGTCCTAGGCAATCAGCTTCCTAGCTCCACGCAGCGCCCCAGCTGGCAAGGCTGAATAGCTGAGCTGGAAGGACACCAGCTCAACATGTTCTGCCTGCAGAGCTTGTACCGGGGGGCAGAATATCCTAGTATTTCCCTTTAACATCTCCAAGGAGTGCTCTGCCATTGCGGGGCACGACCGAGGCCAGCAAGGGGCTACGGCAGCCCTGCCCTGCAACCTGGGGCGCCTGACAGAGCTTCGCTGCCATAGCTCCCACCCGGGCCGCTCACAAACAGCCAAACAGCGTGCGGGTCACACCCCAAGTGTGTGTCTGTAGCCACAGCCCTGGTCCAGCAGCTCCGGCCTCAGCAGACTGTCAGCAAACACCAGCCACAGTCTGGCTTCCAGCAGCCTTTGGTTACTACTCGCAGGGTGACCCCAACACGCTCCCGGTCCTGAATCCCCCCCCGTCCCCCACAAGTGTTTTCTGCACTGGCCAGCCCTCTCCTGGGTAGTCCAGATACCCTAGGTCTGTTGCGCCTCTAAGGAGATCAGTGCACTGGTCTACCGCCCGAAACGGAGTTACCCCCACAATTCCCATCACTGGCTTCATGTTAATTAAAGACTAAAACAAGTTGTGTGACTTACACAGAGAGAGACTTGAAGTGAGTGCAGGTCAGAAATAGTCACAAGAAAAACAAAGATAAACCGCTTCTGAAACTGAGCAAACTCGGCCTGGTTCAAGGTGAAGTCCCTTGCCGCGTGTGTCTCGTAGCGCTGCTGACCCAGCTCTCAGGCCGAGATCTGCTCCCAGAGGCCACGGCTGCTTGTTGCGTTGGCTGAGGTGAAAAGAGAGAGATGGGTGGGCTGCAGCTGCCCCTCACTTTTACAGTCACCCTGGGACATGGCTTTTCCCGAGAGTGACCCCTGGATAAAGTTCTTTGCAGCTGAGAGCAAGGAGGCATGGAGCTGGGGGGCGAGAGGGTCCAGGCTGCTGCTTGCTAAGATGCAGAGCTGGTGTCCCTGCCCCTCTCCTTGTCAAAGAACGGCCACTTGGCAGGTGATGGCCCATCAGCTCTGATGGCACCTGGCTAGAGGCGTCAGCTTGTGCTTTGTCTTTGAGAAACAGGTTCACCCCCTCCCCGGACTCGTCTGGCAAACACCCCTCAGTCCTGATTTCATCGCATGGTCCGAACTTAGCATGTAATGTTGCTGCACACGTTGCACCATGGTGTTACTGGCCAGCGAGTTCTTAATCTTCAAACGATGCCTCCCAACAGTGGCGTAGCTAGGAGTGGAAATGGGGGTGGATGGGCAATGACAGACTGTGCTAACTCACTTTTTCCCCCGATGCCCTCTTCCTAGCCCAGGTGCCCCAGACAGGGCTTCACCTGCCGAGCTGGGCAGGTGCATGGGGCGGCTCAGACAATGGCAGGGCAGAGTGGCTGGAGCGTAGCTTTCTGCTGGGCAGGCGCAGAGCTCCGTCCTGGCTTTCTGGTGCCCGAGTGATGCTCCGGGCCACTGTGGCAGCACCATGCCCCTGCTCAGATTTGGGTGGGCCTGGGTGCTAAGTGGGTGGGCTGCAGACCACCCAGGCCCACCCGTGGCTACGCCCCTGCCTCACTAGGTGTGTTTTGTACAAAGATCATCACAACAGTGTAGAGCAGTGGTCCACAAACTTTTTACCTCGCGCCCCCCCGACCCCTGTCTGTGCCCTCCCACCCCCCAGAGCCAGGGCTGCGGCTCCAGGAGGAGGGGACGCAGATGAGTAAGGGGGCTGAGCCTGGTGCCACAGATGGGGGCAGGCATGGAGCCCTGGGCACAGGGCCAGCAGCCAGGGTTGGGAGCAAAGCCCTGAGCGCGTGGCCAGCAACAAAGCCTCGGGTGTGGGGCTGGCAGCCAGGACCCCAGGTGCAGGGCAGGAGCAGACCTAGGTGGTGCTCCTTCGCCGCCCCCCATGGGGGCTGGCCCGGGCCCCAGTCACGCCCCCCTGAATGGTCCTCCTAGGACAGCTCCTCAGCCTGGGACATTCCCAGAGGTTGCTCTGATCTCACAGTCCCAAAACCAAGCAAAGTTGGATAGAAAATAACTTGTTTCAGAGTAGCAGCCGTGTTAGTTTGTATTCGCAAAAAGAAAAGGAGGACTTGTGGCACCTTAGAGACTAACCAATTTATTTGAGCATAAGTTTTCATGAGCTACAGCTCACTTCATCAGATATATACTGTGGAAAATACAGAAGATGTTTGTTTTTATACATACAAATCATGAAAAAATGGGTGTTTATCACTACAAAAGGTTTTCTCTCCCCCACTCCACTCTCCTGCTGGTAATAGCTTATGTAAAGTGACCACTCTCCTTACAATGACAGGTTTCAGAGTAACAGCCGTGTTAGTCTGTATTCGCAAAAAGAAAAGGAGGACTTGTGGCACCTTAGAGACTAACCAATTTATTTGAGCATGAGCTTTCGTGAGCTACAGCTCCGATGAAGTGAGCTGTAGCTCACGAAAGCTCATGCTCAAATAAATTGGTTAGTCTCTAAGGTGCCACAAGTCCTCCTTTTCTTTCTCCTTACAATGTGTATGATAAGCTGGGCCATTTCCAGCACAAATCCAGGGTTTAACAAGAATGTCGGGGGGGGGGGGGGGTAATTAGGAAAACAAGGGGAAATAGGTTACCTTGCATAATGACTTAGCCACTCCCAGTCTCTATTCAAGCCTAAGTTAATTGTATCCAATTTGCAAATGAATTCCAATTCAGCAGTCTCTCGTTGGAGTCTGGATTTGAAGTTTTTCTGTTGTAATATCGCAACTTTCATGTCTGTAATCGCGTGACCAGAGAGATTGAAGTGTTCTCCGACTGGTGTTTGAATGTTATAATTCTTGACGTCTGATTTGTGTCCATTTATTCTTTTACGTAGAGACTGTCCAGTTTGACCAATGTACATGGCAGAGGGGCATTGCTAGAGAGATTGAAGTGTGGTCAAACTGGACAGTCTCTACGTAAAAGAATAAATGGACACAAATCAGACGTCAAGAATTATAACTTTCAAACACCAGTCGGAGAACACTTCAATCTCTCTGGTCACGCGATTACAGACATGAAAGTTGCGATATTACAACAGAAAAACTTCAAATCCAGACTCCAGCGAGAGACTGCTGAATTGGAATTCATTTGCAAATTGGATACAATTAACTTAGGCTTGAATAGAGACTGGGAGTGGCTAAGTCATTATGCAAGGTAACCTATTTCCCCTTGTTTTTTCCTACCCCCTCCCCCTCCAGACGTTCTTGTTAAACCCTGGATTTGTGCTGGAAATGGCCCACCTTGATTATCATACACATTGTAAGGAGAATGGTCACTTTACATAAGCTATTACCAGCAGGAGAGTGGGGTGGGGGGAGAGAAAACCTTTTGTAGTGATAAACACCCATTTTTTCATGCTTTGTGTGTATAAAAAGATCTTGTGTACTTTCCACAGTATGCATCCGATGAAGTGAGCTGTAGCTCACGAAAGCTTATGCTCAAATAAATTGGTTAGTCTCTCAGGTGCCACAAGTCCTCCTTTTCTTTTTAGAAAATAACTTGAGTTCGGAGTCTTCCTACCCCTTTCACAGCAGCATTTCTACTGCCGGCGCCTCACATGCACTAATGCTGAGTGACTGTTGTGGGGAAACCTGAATTTCAGGCCATGCCTGCCTTTCCAGCGCTGGAATTCTCTGACAACTGTGCTGTGGCATTAATGCTTGGGCTTTTGCATTATTGTTTGGGAAGTTAGAGACAGCCCTGATCAGCTGTGACCTTTGGACACGTCACTTCCTTGCCCTGTGGCTCAGTTTCCCCATCGGTAAAGGGAGGTTAATGATACTTTCTGGTGCCTTTGCAAAGTGCTTGGTGATCTCTGGGTGGAAGCCTGGTGTCAGAGCTAGAACCCTCATGCTGCCTTGTTCAGTTATCAAATTCTCTCCGCCTGTCTGTGCTCACAGAGCGGCAAGGGACCAGCAGGGGCCGCTGTGACTCTGAGCGTTCTCCAGCGGGGTCCCTTGGGTTACGCTCCCCCTCTCCTGCCCCGGGAGCCTGGCTGCCTTTTCAGCTGCAGCTTGTGACTCATCAAATCAGCAAACATGTTCAATTCCAGAAACTGCTGCAGCTCGCGGGGCAGTTTGAAGCTGCCGTATTTTCTTCTCCAGACTCTTGCTCTCCTCTTAGTTCTTGAGGAAGTGGCTAGTAGCAGCTCCCAGGTCAGCTTTAGAAACTATCCCTGCAGCATTTCCCATGCCAGGCATTCAGAGAGCGACAGCCAGGCTCCAAGCCGCGGGCGAGGGCCGTGAAAGCTGTCCAGTTTGGGTTCCGTTCCTTTGTCTCCCATTTGCTGAGCTCACAAGCAGCTCAGTGTCCCACTTTTCCCGACAAGGCTAAGAGCTAGGTGCTCACTGTCTGTCTAATGCTGAGATTCTGCAGAATCATCAGGCTCCAGGAGCTGGTGATTTAGTAAAAAATACTAAATATTGTGAGACTGATAAAATCACCAGCAGTGGGGGGACACTTGAGAACTAGGGTGACCACCTTTTCAAAAGGCAAAGTGGAACACATGCAGGAGCCTGCCCCACTCAGTGGCCACCCCGCCCTGCTCCTCCTCTTCCCCCTGAGGCCCTGCCCCCCGGCCAGGGCAAAAACCGGCACTGGGCCATGGTAAGAGCCGCCCAGGGAGCCCGGGCTGCTATGGGGAACCCCAGATGCTTGGTGGCACAGACACCGACTCCATCAGCCACCTGCCAATCAGCTGTTCAGCAGCCCCTGCGGATCAGCTGTTCGGCAGTGGGTGGGAGGGGGCGGAGCAGGAGCAGGAAGAGGTGGAGCGAGGGGGCGGAGGAGGGGCGGGAAGAGGTGGAGCGGGGGTGGGGCGCTGGAGGGAGGGGGCGGAGCAGGGGCGGGAAGAGGTGGAGCGGGGGTGGGGCGCTGGAGGGGGAAGAGGTGGAGCGGGGGTGGGGCGCTGGAGGGAGGGGGCGGAGCGGGGGCGGGAAGAGGTGGAGCGGGGGTGGGGCGCTGGAGGGGAAGAGGTGGAGCGGGGGTGGGGGCGTGGGGGGGGAAGAGGTGGAGCGGGGGTGGGGCGCTGGAGGGGGGGGCGGAGGGGGGCGGGAAGAGGTGGAGCGGGGGGGGGCGTGGAGGGGGAAGAGGTGGAGCGGGGGTGGGGCGCTGGAGGGAGGGGGCGGAGGAGGGGCGGGAAGAGGTGGAGCGGGGGTGGGGCGCTGGAGCGAGGGGGCGGAGCAGGGGCGGGAAGAGGTGGGGCGCTGGAGGGGGGGGGCGGAGCAGGGGTGGGAAGAGGTGGAGCCAGGGCAGAGTGCTCTTGGGGAGGGGGCAGAGTGGGAAGAGAGTTGGGGTGATGGTGGGGCTTCGGGGGAAGGGGCAGAGAGGGGGCAGGGTGGGGGGTGTGGAGCACTCACCCAGAAAAATGGAAGTTGGCACCTGTGGGTGGAGGGTCTGGGCTTCCCACAGCGGCCCAGGCTCCGTGGGCGGCTCTTACCATGGCCCAGCTCCGGCTTTCAGCCTGGCCAGGGGAAGGGCCTCAGTGGAAGAGGAGGAGAAGGAGAAGGAGAAGGGGCAGGGCCTCGTGGTGAGGGGGCCTAAGGCCACTTAAGCCCCCAACCTGGAAGAGGCTGATCCCACCCCGAGGCCTCGGGCAGGCACCAAGCGGCGCCCCAAGGAATCCGGGACAAATGCTCTCCTGGAATCATTCCGCCAGGGACCAGGACTTGAACTCCACAGTTTGGGAACTGTTCCACCCAATGAGGGGCAGATGGTCAGCAGGGAGACTCCCATTTTCCAGCCAGCTCTGCCACTTCCCGTCGTAGTTACGGTGCTGTGACGCTTCCCTGATGACCCTGTGCAGTGCAGCTCTGCAGCCCCTTTGCATCAGCTAGCCTGGCGTGAAGGCTGTGGGGTGGGGGGACCCCCCCAGAATGCCCCCAGCACAGAGACCCTCTAGGCCCAGGCCTGGAACCAGTGCTGGGCTCCCTCCACAACTGACCAAAGTGCAGGGGGCGTTGCGGGAACGGGCGGGGATGCCGGGGCAGGGAAGGAGCTGCACCCTCAGAGTCATGGCGGCAGCTGCCGGATAGGGGACCAGCCTCCCCTTTGTCCCAGCACCAGCCAGCGGATGGATCCAGCTCGGTTTCCAGGGGGTTGTACAGGGTAAGGACGCAGCCAGGCTTGGCTTAGGCCACAGAGTCTGCTGGGGATCGACTGGCCTATACTGTCAGCATAACAGTCACTGCCCTGTCCTGGCGCTCGCCTGCCCCATCTGCTGCCAAACGCCCAATTCTCTGCCATCGCCTCCTGACGGGGAGCCAGCCAGGGCCCCACCGGCTCCCAGGGAAAGGGGGGCACCCTGCAGTGGCTGGGCGGGGGTGGCTGGGTTGTTGGACTCCACCCCCTGGGCACGCTGGCCCTGTGGGCTGCCAGCGACAGCACATCAGCTCTTGGTGGGACTTGTGCCCCTGCTTCTCTGCTCCTGCTAGAGGGCAGCCCCATAGCGATGGGAGAACCTTGCCTGGGGTACGGCTGGACTCTTAGCGTCTAAGGGCACGTCTTCCCTGGCAACGATAAAGCGCTTCCGTGGCCGCACTTTAACGTGGCTTGTGTCGCTGCGGCAGAGCGCTGGGAGAGCTCTCTACAAAACCACCTCCACGAGGGGAATGGCTCCCGGCGGTGGGAGCGCGGCTCCCGGCGCTGGTGCACAGTCTATACTGACGCATTACAGCGCTTGCTGCGCTCAGCGGGTGTCTTTTCACACCCCGAGCGAGACCGTTGCAGCGTGCAGACAAGCTCTAAGGCTCGAAGGTGTTAGATCATCGTTAGAGCATCTCGTCTGACCTCCTGGAGAGCAAAGGCCTCCACCCCCTTACTCCTGTCCTTGTATTTGGCTAAAGCGGCTTCCAGAAAGGCGTCTAGCCTGGATTTGGAGACATCAAGAGATGAGGAATCCACTCCCCACCCCGCAGCCCCAGGAGCTTGTTCCAGGGTTTTAATTCCCCTCCCTGGTACACATTTGTGCCGAATTTCCAATGTGACTTTTTCTGGCTGTGATGGTGTCCCCTGAATAGATATGTGGGCACAATTGGCAACGGGGTTTGTTGCAAGGATTTCAACAATTTCCATCCCACCACCAACCTCAGCCTGGTCCAGTCCACACAAGAGATCCACTTCCTGGACACTACAGTGCTAATAAACAATGGCCACATAAACACCACCCTATACCGGAAACCTACTGACCGCTATTCCTACCTGCATGCCTCCAGCTTTCACCCTGACCACACCACACGATCCATCGTCTACAGCCAAGCTCTGCGATACAACCGCATTTGCTCCAACCTCTCAGACAGAGACAAACACCTACAAGATCTCTGTCAAGCTTTCTTACAACTACAATACCCACCTGCAGAAGTAAAGAAACAGATTGATAGAGCCAGAAGAGTTCCCAGAAGTTACCTACTACAGGACAGGCCTAACAAAGAAAATAACAGAACGCCACTAGCGGTCACCTTCAGCCCCCAACTAAAACCCCTCCAACACATTATTAAGGATCTACAACCTATCCTAAAGGATGACCCAACACTCTCACAAGTCTTGGGAGACAGGCCAGTCCTTGCCTACAGACAGCCCCGCAACCTGAAGCAAATACTCACCAACAACCACATACCACACAACAGAACCACTAACCCAGGAACTTATCCTTGCAACAAAGCCCGTTGCCAACTGTGCCCACATATCTATTCAGGGGACACCATCACAGGGCCTAATAACATCAGCCACACTATCAGAGGCTCGTTCACCTGCACATCCACCAATGTGATATATGCCATCATGTGCCAGCAATGCCCCTCTGCCATGTACATTGGTCAAACTGGACAGTCTCTACGTAAAAAATAAATGGACACAAATCAGATGTCAAGAATTATAACATTCATAAACCAGTCGGAGAACACTTCAATCTCTCTGGTCACGCAATCACAGACATGAAGGTCGCTATCTTAAAACAAAAAAACTTCAAATCCAGACTCCAGTGAGAAACTGCTGAATTGGAATTCATTTGCAAATTGGATACTATTAATTTAGGCTTAAATAGAGACTGGGAGTGGCTAAGTCATTATGCAAGGTAGCCTGTTTCCTCTTGTTTTTTCCTACCCCCCCCCCCCCCCAGATGTTCTGGTTTAACTTGGATTTAAACTTGGAGAGTGGTCAGTTTAGATGAGCTATTACCAGCAGGAGAGTGAGTTTGTGTGTGTATGGGGGTGGGGGGGATGTGAGAAAACCTGGATTTATGCAGGAAATAGCCCGACTTGATTATGTAAAGAGTTGTCACTTTGGATGGGCTAGCACCAGCAGGAGAGTGAATTTGTGTGGGGGGGTGGAGGGTGAGAAAACCTGGATTTGTGCTGGAAATGGCCCACCTGATGATCACTTTAGATAAGCTATTACCAGCAGGACAGTGGGGTGGGAGGAGGTATTGTTTCATATTCTCTGTGTATATATAAAGTCTGCTGCAGTTTCCACAGTATACATCTGATGAAGTGAGCTGTAGCTCACGAAAGCTCATGCTCAAATAAATTGGTTAGTCTCTAAGGTGCTACAAGTACTCCTTTTCTTTTTGCGAATACAGACTAACACGGCTGTTACTCTGAAACCTGGCTTGGAAAGGTCGTGAGGCCCAGAGGAGGGAGCTGTTTGCTGTGATTCAGGGTGCAGGGCGGGGCGGCTCTCCTTCCCTTTGCTTGCTGCTTGCTGCTCCCGGGGGCAGGTTGGGCGGGGTGGGTGGATGCAGCCTGCCAGACGTCAGGCCATGGTGCTTTTCACATTCAGCCCCTCCCCAAGGCGCTCCGGGACTCTGTGCCTGACACTGACACTGCTGGTGGCTGGAGAGATGGGGAGAAATTCCAGCCGCCAGTAATGGGGTTTCGGCACTGCCTGCTTCACTTGGCCTGCCTGAAAGGGCCATGTCTTCTTCCTGGCCCAAGAGCAAGTCTCCCCCCCGCCCCGTGCAGAGGGTCATGCCCATAATGGTCCCTTCTGACCTGCAAATCAATGAGCCGCGAAGGGTCAGGCCATCATTTCCACCTTTCCCTCCCGGGGGCGTTGGCCTAAACACCACTAACTTGTGCAGCAGCCTCCAGTTCGTCCCTCGCAGCCGCTAACGCAGGTTTCAAACTGGTTCTGTGGCTTGCCGTGAAGCCGTCGTGCGTAAGTCAATAAAGACAAAGCCAGGGACAAGCTGTCCTGCTCTGGAGTAGCGCAGCCGGTGTGGGGAGTGTTACACAAAAGCTGACTAAGCTGGGAGCCAGGCCAGCTTGCCGGACCCTTCTCATTCAAACCCTGTTGTCAGCCACATGGTACTTTCTGACAGTTGCTCCGTTCGTTCAGGCCTGGCTGCTCCCGCAGGGGAATGTTCGCTCCTGAATGTTTCTAGCCGATGGGACTTTTTTTCTTGGTTCCGTGTTTTTTGAGCAGGAGAATGAGGGGGAGATTCTCTCTGTCTCTCCCATAAACAATCAATTCTCGCAGTGCTCGTTCAAACACCTCTAGCACTGGAGGGCTCGAGGCATGATTGCAGTGCAAATAAACGACTAAACGTATTAAATAATAAAAACATATTTATCTACGGTACTTCTAAGGGCCTCCTCACTGGAGTTTCTGCGCCCCTCACAGTCTTTAATGTGTTTATTAGAAGGTATTTATTTGGGCTTCAAAGAAAGAGTTCCAGAATGCTGTTTCATCAAAGCCACATTGTTTAGTGGAAATGTATCAAGCTTGACAGTTTTCAGGGGAAGGTGTCTGGTCAGAGACAGAGAGAGAGAGACCTGCAGTTCAACCTTGACTCTTTGGATCTGAAAACTCATGTTCTGATACGTGTCCAAGGTTTGGTTCCAAGGCCAAACAAAAACAGATTTTGAACTCTTGAAAACTGTCGTGAAAGGGATTTGTTGGTCTCTGGCCAGCTTTGGGGATTTGTCTTCACACTCCCATGCGGGATGGGACAGGGCTGTTATCGCCATTGTACAGATGGGAAACTGAGGCACAGAGCGACCAAATGCCTGGCCCAGGGTCACACAGGAAGTCTGTGAGGAGCAGGAATATAAATCCAGCTCTCCCAAGCCTTTGGATAGTGCTCTGACCACTGGGCCATCCTTCCCCTCTCGCAGTTTAATAATAATAATATTAAAAATACTAATAACACTCCACCGGTGTCTGGTTGGAAGTCAGGCAGTTTGGCCAACCCTGAGCATTCAGAAATCCTGGGTCAGGACCTCACAAATCATGAGGTTGGCTGAAAAGTCATGAGATTTTTAGAAAAATACAATCAAGTTCAGGTTCTCGTTTCTGAGCCGTCAGGGTCACACTCAGATCACGTTCCCAAGCTGTCCTCTGCATGCAGGAGGGTTAAAAATTTACTTAAAAAAAAGAAAAGAAAGAAAGCTGGGAGTCTAACAAGCTAACATGACTCCAGGAGCTGGGGCTTTAAGAGCAACACCAAACATTGTGAGGCTCACAGTACATTGCAAGAGCTGGCGATGGTGTGGGGGCTACTTTGTGCTTGCAGGCTGGTTTTGCTCCTCTCTGAAGCCGCATATGGAGGGAGGCTGAGCTCTCCCGGAGCCCAGTTCCATTGAGTGGTCACTGGCTCGAGCTGCCAAAAACGATGCACCTGGAGCACAGGACAGGAAAACTCCAGGAAGAACGGATGTGCTATTGGGGCAGGTAACAGAGCCAGGATTCCTACCCCCCAGTCAAGGCAGGGTGGAGAGAGACACCGGGTGACATCAGGCACAGCACTCAGCTGCCAGTCCGAGGGGAGGGGACAGGGTCTAACTGATGGGCCGCCAGGGCAGTGGCAGATTAGCCACTGGGCCAGCGGGGCCCATGCCCAGGGCCAGGGTTTCCTTAGCACAAAGGGCTGGGAGCAGGGAGAAGCAGCCTGGGTCTGATCGAGGCCAGGGGAGCGGGTGGCAGCGGGCGGTGACTGGGGCTTTTCTGCTACAGTCAATAGAAACGTCAGAGTAAAACCTACCAGCTTCTCCCTGGGCACCACCGCTACAGAGCACGACTCCTGCTGGGCCCTGCTGCCTCTTCTCCAGCCCACCCTCGGTTACAGAGACCTGCCCCATGCCAGGGATCTCCTGCAATCAGTTTGCTGCAGCATCGTCACAAATATTCCCCAGCCCCACAAGAACCAGGCCTCAGAATTAAGGGGTGCATTGCACAAGGCTGCCGCAGCACCAAGCTCGTCCCGCTTCCCCAGCATTTGGGTCGGGGGGCTCTGAGCCCCCAGAAGGGTGCCGTCAGCGGAAGGCCTGTTGTGTGGTGGAGACCCGACCTCACCCTAAAGGCTTAGGAAGTCAGTTACACCAGAGCGCCGGCTCCCTCGTAAGCCCTGCCAGAGTTTGAGAAGTTGGGTTTGACCCAGAAAGCCTGGCAGTGGCTCATCTGAAAGACCGCTCTCTCTGCAGCTCCAATCAGAGCAGGGGAGCGGAGTGGAGCCGTAAGCTTTGGCACTCGCTGCAGAGCCCTTGGTTAGAAATAGCTGCCACACTGCAAGGCCACGGGGGACCTGAAAGGGGGCCTTGGCTTCTTCTGAGATGCTGTTGCTTGTGGCAGACGTGTCGACTCATGGTCGAGGGAGGTTTCAAGAGCAGTGTTGGTTCATGGGCGTGGGTTACAGGCTATGTCCCCACAGCAGCTGGAGGTGGCTGTGCGTGCACCAGCTCAAGTGGCAACTCAGACTAGTCACTCGACGACACCTCCAGCTGAGAGCCGAGGCGCGTGCTCAGCTGGCCAGCCCAGGCCGCGGCTGCCATGAGGCTGTTTTTAGCACATTAGCTAAGTCAGAGCTAATGCACGTACATCTCCTGGCGCTCGGGGGAGGTCCCAGACGACTGGAAAAAGGCTAATGTAGTGCCCAACTTTAAAAAAGGGAAGGAGGAGGATCCTGGGAACTACAGGCCAGTCAGCCTCATCTCAGTCCCTGGAAAAATCATGGAGCAGGTCCTCAAAGAATCAATTCTGAAGCGCTTAGAGGAGAGGAAAGTGATCAGGAACAGTCAGCATGGATTCATTAAGGGCAAGTCATGCCTGAATAATCTAATTGCCTTCTATGACGAGATAACTGGCATTGTGGATGAAGGGAAAGCAGTGGACGTGTTGTTCCTTGACTTTAGCAAAGCTTTTGACACGGTCTCCCACCGTATTCTTGCCAACAAGTTAAAGAAGTATGGGCTGGATGAATGGACTATAAGGTGGATAGAAAGTTGGCTAGATTGTCGGACTCAACGGGTAGTGATCAATGGCTCCATGTCTAGTTGGCAGCCGGTATCAAGTGGAGTGCCCCAAGGGTCGGTCCTGGGGCTGGTTTTGTTCAATATCTTCATAAATGATCTGGAGGATGGGGTGGATTGCACCCTCAGCAAGTTTGCAGATGACACTAAACTGGGAGGAGAGGTAGATACGCTGGAGGGTAGGGATAGGATACAGAGGGACCTAGACAAATTAGAGGATTGGGCCAAAAGAAATCTGATGAGGCTCAACAAGGACAAGTGCAGGGTCCTGCACTTAGGACAGAAGAATCCAATGCACTGCTACAGACTAGGGACCGAATGGCTCGGCAGCAGTTCTGCGGAAAAGGACCTAGGGGTTACAGTGGACGAGAAGCTGGATATGAGTCAACAGTGTGCCCTTGTTGCCAAGAAGGCCAATGGCATTTTGCGATGTATAAGTAGGGGCATTGCCAGCAGATCGAGGGACGTGATCATTCCCCTCTATATGACATTGGTGAGGCCTCATCTGGAGTCCTGTGTCCAGTTTTGGGCCCCACACTACAAGAAGGATGTGGAAAAATTGGAAAGCGTCCAGCAGAGGGCAACAAAAATTATTAGGGAATTGGAACACATGATTTATGAGGAGAGGCTGAGGGAACTGGGATTATTTAGTCTGCAGAAGAGAAGAATGAGGGGGGATTTGATAGCTGCTTTCAACTACCTGAAAGGGGGTTCTAAAGAGGATGGATCTAGACTGTTCTCAGTGGTAGCAGATGACAGAACGAGGAGTAATGGTCTCAAGTTGCAGTGGGGGAGGTGTAGGTTGGATATTAGGAAAAACTTTTTCACTAGGAGGGTGGTGAAGCACTGGAATGCGTTACCTAGGGAGGTGGTGGAATCTCTTTCCTTTGAGTTTTTTAAGGTCAGGCTTGACAAAGCTCTGGCTGGGATGATTTAATTGGGGATTGGTCCTGCTTTGAGCAGGGGGTTGGACTAGATGACCTCCTGAGGTCCCTTCCAACCCTGATATTCTGTGGTTCTATGATTCTATGATCTACCCAAGCCAGGAATTGTAGATGTGCCCTACGGGTTGTCAGCTGTGTGTACAAACCTAAAGAAGTAAAAACTAGAGCACAAGAGGTCACACTTTTGTATCTGCCTGCAGAAAAAAGTGCGGTGTGGAATTGCACTGGAAAATAGTTGGTGATTGTGTAACTAGACTGTCTCTGTATATGTACTGGGGCAGAGTTAATGTGGCACGACTAGACTTTTCTTCACCATTCCTCTTGATTTCAGCGTCCTTCTTCAGGCAGCCTGGACGTTCCCTGAACCCAGGGTTTTGTTTATAGTGGAAGATGTATAACACGCATGGGACTGTTATGCACTGCCCTTCTTAAGCCAGAAGTGCTCGCCATAGATGGGGAGCTTTTTATTTCTGTGACATTTCAGGCTGGAAGGTGAGTCTGAAGGCATTCAGCAAACCTGGCTGGAGGCTAAAACTTGGCAGGAAGCTACACGGTGAGGACTAACACCACACACAAAACACATTGACAGGGAGATTGTGAACTTTTTGCCTATGCATGTCTGTTTTCACCCCTAGATGTCACGCCAAAGGCATGCTAGCCTGTTGTTCACCTGTTTGTACTGCAGATTACCCGCTCATGCCAGTTTTACCTCTTGCCTCGCGCTGATCATGTTCAGGCTTGTTATTCGGGCTATGTCCCTCTTTCTAAAAGACCCGCTAGGCCCTAATAGATACATGTACGTCGCCACTGATCTGGAATGGTCGTAATTCCTGTTGGATTGTTTTAGTATTATGATTTGTATTGTCATGTTAATCCCTGTGTGATGTGAAGGGCAATAAACTCTGCTGATATAAGG